CCACCATGATACTGCCAAAAACAATCCGCATTGGTCACAAGACACTGTGCAACATTATGTTTTTTGCTAACTTTAGTGTTATTCAATCGGGTGGAACATATTGCCAAGCACTGCACATTATTGTCGGCTGACGAGAACGGATATGAGTGCGAAAGCTTTGGCATTATTCCATAAGAGCAAGAAGCAATTTGCGTAACGAGCGCGATTGCTCTGTTTAAAATTATTTGCAATCACAGTTGATTCGAGTTCAACATCCGACGCATCAAGATTCCTCACCTGACACTTCTGGCACTAAATTGATCAAAGGATATTTTCGAACCCAAGCTTTCTGAGATTTTCCAGGAAACGATATCTGACAGTGGAGTGGCGTCATCCAACCGTTTCCAGCTAATTCTCACTTATCTGATACCTGAAAGATACCCCCGTTCAGACTGCGTGTGCATTCTAGTCTACAGACGGCAAGGCACAAGAATTCTCATGAAAGCTGCAAAATCAACCTTCCAAGAACTTTTCGCGAAAAAATGTGACTTTATCGGTTCTTCGTTTCACCCGGTGTTTCGAAGGTATACCCGGTGCCGTTCGATCACACCTAGAACATCCTCCATCTTAGATTCATTGAAAAAATTACCTCAATAAACTTCAAGTCATTAGTATGATGCTAACAATATCTTTGAACTATGCATTCATTGGCGCTTGGTGGGCAATCACCCCTCCCGAAAAGACTGAAAAGCTCATTCAATTGTAGCTTTGAAGCAAAACGCTCTAAATATATTTGTCAATACGACCTCAATGTTGTTATATAGATCACACAAAACCATTGTATTTTACATTAACTAAGCACAATATGCCCGTCAACTGGATTAGATGCCTACTTCCATGGGCAGACATTGATGAAAAACAGCATCATGACGGATGCCGCCTGTACACGAATCGTATTTGGGAACCTTTCACGTCGTCTGCTGTGAATACGGAAGAATACCAGTTCCTGATTTGCTAGACGGTCTTATGTTCTAGGCTTGTTTTGCAAAGTTTACAGAATGTTTGATCTGCATCTGCCAAATGACTCCCTGACGTCGTTGGATTGGGAGCAGGAAGCTGTAGCTCATAAAGTCATACAACGTTTTTCCTGGGACATTCGCTAGACGAAGGGCGGAAGAGTCGCTATAGATTCTGGCGGCCGCTTTGGATTTCTCTGTGACGTCGGACTAACAGCCTTGTTACTTCTTATTGCCTGTTGTAGAAAAAGATGTAGTTTGCTAGAGTGCTTTAATGTGGACAATTTTCTCCTCAATAACACCCTACTTACTGCAACCTATGGTTACATGAAAGTCCACAGTTTCACGCGCAATTCGATTATCGCTTTACTACCCTATGTCATACCCAAATTCTTTCGGAGAAACTGTTTGTTCAATAATTATTCATGTGGCTCTTGAGATAGAGGAATTTGGATCTGGACACATACATACGGTAAAGGGGGTTTGTATCCCGAGATTCGCAGTAAACCACACCAATATGTGGGTTGAACGGCCGCAAATTTCACTAATGTGTGTGAAAACAACAGCTGATTTTCGAATAATAGCAGATTAACCGATTTATAGGCACCAGGACCGTTTCAGTTAATTCACAGCGCTTGAAAACCGAGTCCACTCCATGCGCCGAGGATTTATATCGGAGGTGCACTGCAAAATTGCATCAACACTGCCGAAAAATTTGGTATTGCGCTTTTTAGCAAACAAAACAATGCAGCTGTTTCTGGTAACCTTTGTGAAGAATCGGCAAACACAACGAGGAACCGGAAACATGACATGAAATTCAAGAATGACCTGCAGAATCTCGATTCTTGAAGTGACTAAATTTGATTAACCCACAGTCACTATGCAAAGCCGGCTTTTCCACCAGACGAAACGTAAATTCCATTAGTTTGCTTTGCAATCGCATGATCGGGACAACGCCATTGTGTGTGGTCTACAACGTAGGTCAAATTCTACGCCATCTTATTTCTGCCGCCATCGTTGGATATCCATGAAACAATTCTACAACATCCTGCTCCGAATTTTACCATCAAAACCGATTTAACCAAGAATCGAATAATTGTCCACTAAACCGGCTTCGTTGTCGACAGAGTTGGTGGTCTGGCTTGAGAGAGAAATTTGAAGGTAGCACTGACGTCTTAATGATTCTATTTCCGATAATTCGTTTTCTTTACCGTAGTTTGTCTCAGTATAATTCGTCAGGTTTTCTCAGGCTTTTCCTAGGGGACTGTCGCATTTTTGCGAATATCAAATCTCATTCCTCCGATGCACCTTAGCGGTTGAGCAGTTGCTTTGGCAATGTGGTTAATTCGCGAGTCACGAACTCCGCATCTAGGTAGCATTAATAGAGGCAGTGATCGAGTTCAGTGTTTCTTCACATCTCATATACTAAGCGACCCTACACAACGAAAAGGAACGCACGTGTGACAGCGAAATAAATTTTATTGATGCATCTTCAACGTGTGTGAAGCATACCTGGAAAAACAACGTACCGGCTGGCGGTACTCACGTATCTTCTTTGGATTCTCGGTGACATTGTTTTGTATGTCTCGTCAAACTGGAAGGAGTTTTAAAGGTATTTTTGCACACTTCACAAGCATACGGTCTCTCCCCCGTGTGGACGCCAGCGTGTGCGTCCAACGCGGCTTGCGTTCGCAATATTTTACCGCAATATTGACACAAATAGACTTTCCAATTCAAAAACCTTGAGTCTGTCATGTCGCCTGTGCGTTCACCGGCTGCCAATCTGTCGAAGTGTTTTCCCACCAGATGACCCCTCTGACTTCGGAGTGACCTGAAAAATGTTGCACAGAAATCACATTTGTATGACCTCGAATCCGAATGAGTTTCCAAGTGCTGACGAAGCTGACTAGCGTGCCGAAACACTTTTGAGCATTTTGGACACTGGTGTAGAATTTTATGAGGTATAGACTTCTGCGTTTGTCCATTGAGTTCATGATTCACAGTCTCTGATGGATGTGTGGAGGAAGCCCATGTGGGAGTCATGGCTGATTGCCCCAGTGTTTCGTGATGCTTAGCATCTGAAACAAAAATGAAACGATTATTCTCCGTGGTCAAAACGAAGAAACTGACCAGCCAGCAGTATGCATATTCACATGTGTCCTCCCGGGTTTAAGTTCTATATCTGAGTGCGCAAATCACACAATGTCTTGGACAATCTTCCCATTCTAACGTGTTGCGCCCAAAGAACAGAAGTGGTGATTTTGAAGTGAGTGAAGGGTGAGCAATCCAGATCCTATCAAATTCACATCAAGTTCCGTATATACTCCTGTGTACATTCCAGCTTCCGGCAGAACCCTGACATCCAAAACGCGATGGAATAACCAAATAATTTGCTGCAACCAAAACTTGTCCGACTGTCTCTTCAAGCATCACAACCGGACTCGGAGCGGTTTTCCTCGACGGAGACATGAATTTATTGGAATCTGTCATTTGTTTACATTCAGGATTGAAACGAATAACGAATTCTTGTATATGACAGGCTAATGTAAGCAATATGCATCGTCCAGGCACGTGTGATTCCACGTGATTCCAATGTAGACGAATGCATTGGGATTTCTCAAAAGGTCTCAGTCCGTTTCATCAGCCCGTTTCAGTTCTGTTGACATCCTCACCCAATACGTTTGTGCTACTTCAGTCTCTTTTTGATTATCAGGCGAGCAAAAAAGCTCCCTCGGTTTTATTCGTTGTCAGGTTTTCTTGAACTTCGGCCTCAATTTTAAGGGGTATTTTGGCAGTGAAGCTAATATGTAAACAAATTTGCCTTTCAGATTTTCGACTAAAACATTTTAAATCCCATTGCTGCATTCGAAGCAGCTTATGATATCAGTTAACGCACCCTGATGTTACCGGGAGAAATTCAGTCTGCTTTGCTGCAATGAGGGTGGAAAAATATCCGCAGAAGTCAGTTGGTCTTCTCTGAATTTCAGTTGTTTACAATCCAATCAAACTAGATCATGAATCTATAGTCCTTTGCAGAAACGCCTAAGAACATTTAAGTCTGCTCGAAAAGCTTCAGTAGTGCGGACAATTTAGGATGAACTGACCTCTAATCGGAAAGAACGTAAGATGGAAGTGCAGTGCTATTTTTCCAAGATATCAGATTAGCCGGCGGTTGTTTGCGTCCTTCAATAGGCGTCCCAAAATCTGGCCGTCTGCTCGGTTAGTAGGGTTACGTTGGGATGTTTGGGCTAATGCTCAATGGTACTCGTGCGTCTACTGGCCACCATTTCATCAACCCGCAATTTACTACGTGATATTTCTGCTTTCCGAGTGTTTGACAATCAGACGGATAAACATCACATCGGTTTGTCCTTCAACGTTGTTACGGAGCTTCCTAAACAATTGGAACGCTCTTAAACAACACAGACCTCCATCCGGGCTTCTGCGGTATTCCAAGCCCCGACTTCATAAACCGTGTGCGAATGCCACAAAGTATGATTGACGCGTGGGTGTATCGGACGTGAAACGGATCCGAGTATCTTTCGAAGTTCATATTGCTTAGCAGCTAATTAGTTACAGAGCAGTAGCAGGTCGCTTGTGAACGTTGCCTTTCGTGAGTTCTATCTGTCTGTGACTAACTTGCTCGAGACTTCTTATTCGTAACAAACTTATCTCACTATGCGCAGTTTTCTCAAGATACTGGCCCCAAATCCTTAGATATTGCCAGGTGGACGAAAGCACTGTAGTTTGAATTACAGCAGACGCCTTATTTCTGGTTTCAGATTATACGGGATGAAATTTAATGGAGCCAATTGAATTGAATATCATTACTTCAACTGTGAGTAACAAAAAATGTTTCAAACGGTGCGTACACAATGAAGTCCACAAACGGAGTGAATAAACTTGTGTACTTACCAATAGGTGCGTACGAATCGGCGAGAACTTCCAACGCATTTACTGAAGAGAAATTGTGGTATGAATCAGATCCGAATAATAAGGAGAGTAGGGTTACATGTTTCGTTTAATTTATCACCATAAAAATTATCCTATGGTTTATTTTTGAACGGCGCAGTTGAACAATCGAAATTGAACGAGCGGAATAGGATGAATAACTCACGCTTTTTTCCGATGACCATATGGACAATGGCAACCTTTGCAATTAAGAAAATCCTAAACAACATGCTCAACATACACAAAATTTTCAGCTTTGGTACGGGCTGCGGGTTCTAAAGGAAGCCATTCGATAAAAAATATTCCAAGCCTGTCCAATCAGTATAATTTCGGATTCCATGCAATCAAAAGGCAGACGTTTTGGACAGGTTGGCAGAATTTGCGTGTGTGTCCTGAACGTCAAAAGAATACACGTTCTCAGCTTTTTTAAAATATTTTGCTGAATTAAAAAATGTTCAAGTGGGTGTGGACGTATTTTAAGTGATTTGTTCTGTTTAGAAGCGATCTATACTATGATTCAGGAAGTTTAAGCCATCAATTTAGTCCCCAACCCCGGTTTCCCGGACACGCTTACTTGTGGCATAGAATCGTAAAGAATATTTTCGTCAGAGAAATGATTACACAGGCAGTGTGTGGATAATAACACTAATCAAATGTTTAATTTCTCATGTATCCTACGATGTATATAAGGCATAGAAAAACGAGTAGCATTGTTTCACCAAGGAATCACAAATAAGAGCGAGGTTGAAGTGCAAATATTTCCCATGATTTTAAAATTGCCGTGTGCATTTAAAATATTTCAAGTCTGAAACAGAGTGACTTGATGCAACCTTCGTCTGCTTATCCATACTACATACGAAATGGCAAATGCGGGTACTTACGGCACCCATGATGCCGGCGGTAAATTTCAATATACGTTTGGTTCTAACATTATGGATACTCTGGGTTTGAAATCTGGTAGCAAATGCAACGCGATTTTGTCCCAATCTGTGAGAACTAACGTTATAAATGTCCACTAACTCAGCGCAAATCTCAACCGCTGATCATCAAAGTGTAGTTTCCCCAACTCGTGAAACTATTTCGCTCTCGACTCAATGCTAGCGAAATGCTCAAGGGGCTAGATTTAATCGGCCGGATACAATCTGCACCACAAAAGATTAAACCGCAATGGAAAGACTAGTATACCCACTGAATTGTACCGACATTTGGCGTATCATACTGGGAGTTTGGTCACGAGAGACGGATACCTCACAAGCACTGTGGTTGGGTTTATTCAAATAATATTCAACACGTAATTCCGCAATATTTATTATCGGGCTCTGTCGAGAAGGGATTTTGGATAGACTGGAACGATCATGACAAAATTCCGCCCTGCCTTTAATTTGGGCGTTTTGGAAGTGCGTAGAAGGGCTAATCACTTTCTGCCGGCATAGGATTATCGCCCGTCATATTTAATCATCATTTGAATTTGCGACATCGTGGCACATGAGCACATCGTCGTCAATGTAGAAAAGGGATTATTTATTAATTGTACGCCTTCCGGGAGACGTGATCAATATGTCGGCGGTGTGGAAGATAAGTGACACTTCGATGATACCAATAAACTTTGCTTGCAATTTCGGCGTTTCGGAATTTCGTTGAAAGCATTATGAGGGAAAGCGTCCCAAGATTATCACACGTCATACCTGGCTATGGTTTGCATTTGCACGTCATTCTGGTTCAGGTCCATTTCTTGCAAATAACTTCAATTGTCCAATGCAACCAAGGCTGACTTTTAAGATACCACGTATCCTGTGCATCGTGAAGGATTGTGGCTAAATTTCGGTCTCCCTGGTCAATGGTTGTGGCTCGAAACATGACGGTGTACTGCAGATTCGCTGGAAAACGTGCGAACATTTAGTCAGGTTTACATGTCCCTTGATGCTATTACTACACAGAATAGTCTTATCAATGAAACAAGAAGACAAACTCCAAAGCGTTCCCTCCGTTGCCGCGAAGAAAATTCATTCACGAAGGATGAACGTATTATAAAAACGGTGTAACTTATTTTGATAGTGTAGTTTTCATGCGACTGGTCTTGCTGCAGGCATGGAAATGCCAAAATGACGGTCGGTAACCGACAGATGCCGAATTCATGCAGCGTCCATGATGACATAGCAGCATTATTTCACTCTCTGACTCAATGTGTGGGGATTTGTGAGTATATGCTCGCACGCTTGATAAGTGTATGGTCTCTCGCTCCAACGGACGATGGTGTGTATATTAGACTCATTTCGCGATCACAAATCGTTTTCCACAGCGTCGGCACAAATGACATTCTCGCTTCAGACGCCTTGCATAATCAAAAACCTCATGCGTCTCCTGGTGCCAAACTCCTCACCCAGTTTGGAAATAAGATGATTAAGGTTCACGCTTGAATGTGCCTTACCAAAATAGTGAAGCCCTCTGGAACAATCCAGACACCGATTTGGAGTTCAGCGATATTCCAATTCCTGTTTTGATATCTGTGATATCTGTATCTCTCACATTTTCATGATGTTTGGCACCTAAAAGGGTCGTTATAAGTGCAAATCAGTACGCCGTCGAAAGCCGCTTGTGAACCTGCCGTTTTGGTTGCTCAACACATGATTTCTAAATCATGAATCAGATACATGTTTAGCGCCCATGGGATGCTCGCTTACTCGTCCGTGATATAGACGTGGACAAGGTGGGGCAATAAATGTCGCATACGGTTGCAAGTAATCTGTAAAATTAGACCCACGTGCTGTGCAATGGCTTGGGCTGCGCGCAAACACCACAAAATTGTGTCACAACAGAATACATCTTTTTAAAACCGTGACTGTTATGTTATTTTTTCTGTATTGGATGTCAAAATGGAGTATTATTTACGCATTACATTTTTAAACAACTGAGCAACTTCTACGAATGCTTTGACGAAAGCGCGAGTAACCGGTTCCCGATTCTCATGCTGTCCGTCACAAAACATAACCACCGACAGTCCCAGAAGCACAGGTTGATACCAACGGCTGTAGATTTAAGCGTTTCAGGCCGCAGTCACCCTACCGAATTCATCTACAATCTATTGGTTCAAATACGATGATTGACTCCTGTATTCCAGTGAGTCACTGCCCTATTTTAAATTGTGTATCCATTGAGGCGTCCGTTGACGGGTTGACTTGGGAACAGAAAAATTCATATTGGGTGGTTCTCACACAGGTGTGGTGTTAGAACCATCAATGGGATTTTTGAAATGAGACAGGCAAAGATCACTTATGTATGTGTTCAAAGGTGATGACTAAGCTTTCTAAAGAAAAGAAACCTTCTTGGACAATCCAGACGTCGATTGGGGATTTCATGTTATCGCTTGCCCAGTGCCAATTCAAAAAATATGATTGATGTTTGGATGCAGCAGACGTACAATCGATCACAGTATCTCCTGAATGTTCGTATTGTTTGGCATCTAAAGAAAAAAGAGGTGGTTACCAAGCAAATCAACTGGCTGCTAAAAGTTTAAAGCCGCTTGTAAATTAGCCGTTTATTTGGTGCTTAATTACAACCTCTCTGTGACGAACCCGAATATGATTGCTGCACAATAGTTGTTAATAGGCTAGCGTAGATGTTCAGAGAAATTGTGCTGTTTCAAGGAGGAAAAGAGGTAATTCTGCTTCACAAAATTAAGGCAGATGCGCCTGTCAGCTGGATATCCTACCATGTTCTCAATTTTAGGGACAATTTTGACGGTAAATGGAAGCCAGTGAAAGTGAACCAGATTGATTGTCATGTTTACCGTCCAAAAACATTTCGGAGTTCGCAAACCCGGAGCCCATTTTAATTTGTTGACTGGCACTTATAGGAAACCAAATGGGTCTGGATGTATCATTTTTTTAAATATTCTCCAGATGAATCCAACACTGGTCGGAAAACCGCCCCCTGATATATACGGTGTCACCTTAATTTTGCAGGTGCCAAACACCAGTTCTCTTTCGCCGCTGCGACATCCTGGCACATGAGCAGGTCGTCGTCAATGTGGAAAATGGATTATTCATTAACTGTACGCCTTCCGGGAGATGTAATCAATATGTCGGCGGTGTGGAAGATAAGACAACCCCACAGACACCAACCAAATAGGGCGTCGTTGACCAGCGCGATAATTCATGGGCGAATCCGAAGAGATGCATTTATGCATTGGTCATCAGCTGCGATCTGCTGTAGTCCTGATATTTCGGCGAGAATCATATAGGTGGACGCCTTTCTGGCGTCCCAAAATTTTCGCCCACCTAAATCTCTTGTCTTTGTTCAATAAAATCATCCCATAGCATTACAGTTTATTCAAAAGAATTAATTTCGGTTGTTCTGACGTAAGAGATTCTGCTGAATGATTTCGGCTGAGGGGCATTGGCGAGGAAGCACGCCTTTGCTACTAGACGGTACGCGGACTTGTTGCTCCCCAGAAAAAAAAACAATTAATCTGAGGAGCGTTTACTGTTCACAAATAGCTTTCTCATATGCAAGTCACCATAGCCACTATTCTTGTGAATCTCATCATCACAATAAGTTTGACAGTCAGAATCAGTCAAGTAAAATATCTAGAAGGAGGCCAAATTTAGCATTTGCGCTCATGATGACAAGAGCATTTAGAGAAAGAAACAGTGACTGATTTTACCAAGGTGCTTGAACCATCAAGTCAGAAACTATGACAACGTCTGATAACCAACTATCCCCATGTTTTCCAGGTAAACGGTCATGATGCACCTCGACGGAACGCCTTCAGCTGCATTGTACTTACTCATTTTTTGACTAAACTGTGAAGAATTCTGCCAGCCACCGAATGATTGTGAAGAAACTTAATCAAAACGGGCACCTGCTAACTTCCACATTGTTCGGACAATTTTCTGACATGCTAGAAAATAAAACTAATGGTAAATCGGCACATTCGGATTTCCGTTTCCAAGGAAATTGACAGAAGACTCACCAGTGGGTGCGTAAATATGTCAAAAGTTTCCCGGTGTGTTTCGCGGAAATAGTCCGAATAATGCCCAAAGTTAAAATGTATATTACACTGAAATACATTAATCGTGTTTGCGGCTGCAAGAGATTGATAATACCTGGAAGCCACAAAACATTGAAGTATAAACCCTTCGCCAATTACGTAGTAAAATTTATTGCAAAACAATCAAAAATAAACGCAAAGATCACGATCAACAACTCGCACATCTTTGCGTGTCTCCACTGGACTGTGATAGCACTACGCAGTTTGCTGTTCACACTCAACCGTGTCCATCTTGGTTATGCGTTTTCCGGGGTTTGCCGTACATTTGTTCACACAAAACCAGTGAAGCTCCAGCCAGTCAGCTAAATTCCGGATTTTTTCCAACCTCCGGAAAGTGGGAAAAACTACCCGTATTGGTCACAAGCAACTCTGTGACAATGCGATGTTCGATCACATCAATAGGACGGAGCAGCACGCCCGCTTTATTCACGCGGATAGTGCCACAGGACTACTATCGACTATGTTTCAGGCATGACTTCTTCCATTGAATTTTCTTACAAAAGCAGCCTGCCTCTGGCGATGATTTTTGCAGATTTGTAAACGTCGATCCGGGTAAGCGGCATCTTTGACTAGGACCTTCACATGAATTTGAGCTGTCTTACATTGACCTGTCGGGTTATTGAGTTTATCCGTGTCTAATAATATGTATCGATGAAAAGCGCTCCATTTATATAAACGTCTGTGTTTGGTTGATAGATAAAATGTGATTTCCAACCTTAGAATTCTTTTAACGTGGTGTGAGTCTGTGGAGCACACAGACAAGATAGAATACAATGTTTAAATTAGAGATCAGCGCCTAAGTCAGGGACGGCCGTCTCTTAATCAGTGGCACTTTTCAAGCGGTGGTTTTGCGCCAGCTCTGTCGCCACAATTAGACGCCTTGTGCACGCGTCGGTCTTGTATTCCTTCAGTGACTTGTATTTGTCGGCGCGCACACGAGTCAGCAGTCCCATACAGATGACCGAGATCAGACCGGTGGCCATTAGTCATAACGCATGGTTTCACAGGCATAAAATCACCTACAAGACACTAGTAAGGCAGTGTTTTATCCAAATGTTGTATGAGACAGGAAAGCAAACAGCAACCGGAAATTTGTGGAGGAAAATGTAATGTGGAGGTAAATGTAATCCCTCTATGGGATGAAACGGCATTAAGAACCAACTACGATAGGGCAGACGTGCGCCATGGGGGTGTCTACTTGTATTCTGGGAAACAAGCAATCTTAGGCAGCCTATTTCATGCTTCCCTATGAACAATGAATCTTTCCAGTCACTTCCATTCTGAAGTTTCACGCATTTTCCCTATGTGTTGCAAGTGAAGCGTGAATGTTTGTGTTTCCGCTTCCAGACAATATATTTGGCTCCTCAAATTTTGAAATTATTGTTCTGGTCCGGCAAATTTAATGGAACATCCTGCTTACAGTTTCACGGATTCACGGATAGATACTCAGGAGCTGGCCTTTTGCAAACAGTTTCCTGGTTGATGTCAGCAATATTTTTCAGCGGCTATCGTTCATCTGGGAGGCACATGTATAAAAGTTGTAACAGTGGCCCTTAAGCTTTCAGCGCGAGGTGATATGGTTACCAGCGCGAGGACCGGCATAAATAATTGTGTAATAATACCTTGGTGGAGCGTGACCATCCTCGGAGGAGAGTTATTCCATACAGCAGCTGCACGAAACGAGGAAGTGTATGCCCAATGGGAGCATGCGATCCAAGTTCAAACATATTCTTACCATCTATTTGCCGTGTGATCGCTGGGCCCGGGGTGAGAAACCTGCTGACCAAACCGTATTCTAACAGGAGGTAAGTAAATTGTAGGTCCGGCACTAATGGGTTTGTCTCTGAATCAGTCTAATTCCCGCAATTTGCTAGGTGCTGATCGAAGGCTCGAGCATCTCTTCTATGCTTACACGATATTTATGTAAGCCCCGTGACAGAATCCTAGTTGTTCTCGATCATTTGACGCTTGTTGATTTTGGTGGCGTAAGCGACTCGCGTGAGCTGATCACCAAGGAGTCGCCCTTTATTTTTTTGCCATCAAATAAATAAAAATATGCCCTTTACCAACAGTGACTTTGCCACGTCCAATGTAAGTTGATGAAATTCAAAACCATGTGAATATCCGTGAAAGTAGTTTTGTACCACTTCTACTGATATCCGCAGACCCAAATATAAACGGATCCAAAAGCCCTGTTCTTTGCCTCCCAACACTGTTTTAGCGAAAGGTTCACTGTGCGGCTCTGCGGCAACTTTGGTTGCCAAGTTATTGACTGATGTGCTCGTGCACTACTTTCATGTCTTGACCAAACGCCGAATCAGTAGTATCGAAGCTGGGCAAAACTATCCCAAAAAGCCCCGTTTAGTAGATTATTTAGATAACAACCTCAAGTTTTATTTGCCCGATGGATTACTGAATGTTCCGAATCACGAATCGTTGTGCTAGATTGCTGTTTACATAAAATTGTCCCAATGCATGAACTAAAGTAGAGAGAACGTTTCCTGTACGCCTGTCTAGAATATCAGATTTCGACTAAACTGAACGAGCTACCAAACAATATGGAACCTCGAAAAATTTCTGAATGCAGGCTAACCGCTTAAATATGTAGCCAGGTTTGCGAGGTCTTAAAGTGCTTTGCATTCGTTCTCTAGGATGACTGCGGTTAGTTCTGCCGAGTTTGGTGTTCTGGTATTCATATAAGTAAAATTGCCGCATAACCATCTAACTGTAGAGACTTGAACAAACATATCAAGGTGTTTTGCCAGTGAAATAGTGCGAAACGCAAGGTTTCCAAAAACAAAGCGCATCATGCAAGACGCATCAGGTGTTAGCCGCTAACCCGTGATATTTTACAAAAATTGATTGTGATTAAAAACTCACCTACTTTTGTTTGAACAACAAAAGCTGTGTAAGTGCGAGCCGCACTGGTGCAGTCCGAACCGGCTGAGTGAGCGAGAAACCTACATTAAAATGTGGTATGTTGTCTGCATAGTTTTTCTTCTCCGTGCGCGAATAATGACACGAAACAATGCTGACCAGACAAAATAAATTAAGGTCGTGTGCTCCTCATCTAATAATTAGTTCATTTTACCAGCATTGTGTCCAGGCTAACCGCATCCTACAGTAAACAATTAAAATAATTTTGAGCTCGAAAAGTTGTACCAAACGAACGTCATTTGAAATATGACCGTCGGTGAACGACGAACGGGGTCCACTGTGTTTGTGAACACTTAGGTTGAACTAGGCCTGTTGCAAAAGACTGATCCAAATACTACGAGAATTCCACCTGTCGGACTGAAAGTCGCGGTCGGCACCAAAATAATAGAGAAAACAATCTCAGTTCTTTCGAATAACCGTTCTGGGGATGGCCATACTTCCCTGTCAAGATT